TCTTTCGATATCTTTTTTCCCTTGCAAAAAAAAAAAAAAAAAAAAAAAAAAAAAAAAAAAAAAAGGAAAAAAAAGAGAAAAAACGGAATAAAAACAATAAAAAGCCTTAACAAAGTCAACGGTAGTTTGTGTAACACCTGTTTGCCCTTGTTCTTGTTGTTTTATTTTGTATGTTATCCACACGTGTCTGCGCTTTTTATGCTAAATATTAATGTTAAAGTACATCTAGAAAGCATTCACTTCGTCATTATGCAATGCTAATTCTGTAAGGTATTGATTGGATTTGAATTCCAATAATCCGATAATCCAATAATCTGGCACGTATGGCACTGACCATGACTGCGCTATCGTCATCCATGACTGCCAATAATACTCGCAAGATGGAAATAGATCGACAGAATCAAATAGCAAATTCCGCGTTTCATATCCTTTAGTTAGTTGTTTTTTATATTAATAAATCGATTTCGCCTGCGCGATACAGTAAGTATAATTCAACGATCCTGGTTAGATTACAATACGATCCGATATTACTTTTCTAAAAATTAAAATCCAAGGAAAAATTCCGAAACTGTCCTATTTTTTTCTCTCCATTCACTCGAATTTGTTGCTAATGTTAATATATAATGCAAAATAAATGAGTAATTATTACTTGGAGCTTTGTCATCGATTTCTAAAGTACTCGAGATCTATCAACGCCTAATTTCTAACAAACTAGCATTCAATCTTGAGCCAAATGTATCGAATACAATATGACAAAAGAGAGGTATAATTGCAGTCAAATCTTGATCATCAATGGCTGAAACGCCAATTACGCGCAAGTGTTCCAATTGGCAATCCAAAATATCAATTCCAATGCTACCAACTCCAACTCAATTTCTAAAATTCACCAACTCATTCTAAAATTCTCTGAAGTCATTCGGCACACAAATTTTTGAAATATTTCGACAAACAATACCCAACGAACGAATAAAAGAACGTCGGATCCAAAAACTCACACACCGCTTGCGCTGGCAATTGATTACGGACCATAACGAGTGACCAAACCGTATACAATAATTCGTCGCTTTCTTTTTCCTTTGAACACTCGTCGGTGTNAATATGACTATTGAGGATAGAAACTATTGAGAAGTAATAAATTTATTATTCGTTTTGCCTGAGTTATACTTAAATATACTTGAAATATCGTATATAAACTCAAAATAAATATATAAAATATAAAACATAAAAATATAAGAAACATGTAATATATAATGTATAATAATATATAATAAAAATATAATACATAATATGTAAGATATAAAACATAAAAAATATAAAAAAATATAATATGTAGTGTATAATAATATATAATGAAAATATAATACATAATATGTAAGATATAAAACATAAAAATATAAAAAATATATAATATATAATAATATATAATAAAAATATAATACATAATCTATAAAATATAAAAAGATAAAAAATATATATAATAAAAATTAAATAAAAAATTAAATAATTAAAAATATAATACATAATATATAATGTATAATAATATACAATAAAAACATAATACATAATATATAAAATATAGAACATAAAAATATAAAAAATACAATATATAATGTATAATAATATATAATAAAAATTAAATAAAAAATTAAAAAATTAAATAATTAAAAGTATAATACATATTATATAAAATATAAAACATAAAAATATAATGTATAATAATATATAATAAAAATATAATACATAATATATAAAATATAAAACAAAAATATATAATAAAAATATAATACATAAGTATAAAAAATATATAATATATAATAATATATAATAAAAAATATAATACATAATATATATAAAATATAAAACTTAGAAAATATTACAATTTTGGGACCAAGAATTCTCGACGTGCGTGGCACGTCGTTCCAGCGCAAGAGGTGAAGAGTACCCAGTGTGCCCAGTTAATTGCAAGCTCTAATGGTAAGCTGTGGGTAAAGCACGAGCGTTGGGGGCCCGTTACGAGGCCCAATAGACCGGAGTCGTCGGCGTCCTTGCCGCATATGGCGAAACGGCTCTCGTTCTCGGACAACAGCAGCCACCAACAATGGTCGAGCGTGGATCCGTACGCGTGTATACGTGAGTCAGCACGCGGCTACCTCTGCGTGCCTGCCGGCTTCGTCAAACTACGCACATAAAACGAACATCCCGAAAGGGGGGAGGGATCGTTTTTAAAAAGCCGCGTTGCTCGGCCGCAAGCCGAGAGATTTATGACGGGTCGCGCGGGGCAGCCTCGATAACAACAACGACGATCGTGTACGTTGCGAGCAATGCAGACGATTAGTTCCTTCTTTCGCTTCAAATCGAATCAAAGCGAGTAAAGAGATTTGAAAGAGTATCAGGAAACGGGGAGTTTTTTTTTAGAATTGAGATGCAGTCCAGGTATCTCGAAAGTTCAAAGTGTACAACGACGAAGCCTCCTGTTTGCGAGATTTTATTCTTTGACGCGCGTGAAGGCGAGAATTTTCGATCGAGGAGGAAGGCTTGAATAATTACAATCTGGGAGGCTGAAGGAATTTTGAAAGGAAACCCACGAAAAAAAGCGATGAAAGACGTTGTAACAAGAACGTAGAAGGAGGTAGAAGTTCCGTTTACTTCAAGTATGAATGAAACTTTGGAGGTATACCAGAACGTTTCGAGACATTAGAATAGAAGAGAAAGGAAACTTAGAACTTTGGGATGTGTTTAGGCACGGAAATGTTTTCCTCGGCACGTCGTATACAGAAAAATTGCACGAAAACAATTTCGCAATGGCGTCGTATCGGGGCGCGGTAACGACATTTCCAGCCACATTAAAATAATTGAGCGTAAAACCGTTCGACGACAATAGAGACGCTGAATTATCGATTTCTACGAACGGCCGTGATTGTTTCCCACTAATAAATCGCGGTGGATGCCGACGCGAAAAGTCATCCACGAGCGCGAGGCGACGTTACACGTCGTTCGCGTTTATCACGTTGCGACAACGATATAATTCAACGGAGGTCCGAGTTGGTGCGCGCAGCTGCCACCGGCAAATTCTTTATTCTGGCCTGGCTCGTAATCGTCGATGCAAAGTTACCGCCGGAAAAGTAATGCCGGCAATTAGAAAATCCACTTAAAGCCGGCCTAATGATTCTCATTTAACACGTAGAACGATACGTGGCTCTGTTCATTTCGCATTCCTCGCTGGCGTTTCTCGTGGAAATTGCGGCTACGGCTACGCTCCCTGCGTACACAAATCCACCTGCCTGCCGTATGTATTTTCGAGATTCCTCGGGACGATTGCGTGTTTAATTTGTCGCCGTCGTTCCTCGCCAATATAGGCTACCGAAGGTCGAAACTGTTCTACATACCGGCTCTTTCGCTTAGCGAAAGTGGACGAACCGCGTAAACGTTTTCAGGAAACTTCTTGATTTGAGTTTCAATACTCTGAATTTGAGTTTGATTTTTCAGTACTCAAATTGTGAAAAATTTTTCATGTCTTTACGAGAACAATATCGTATGAGAGGAGGTATCCTATATGATAAAATAGGCAACCTACATGATAACTTGCAACCTATATAGTAACTTACATTAAATACATAGTTCCATTTTTGGGGGAATTGATCTTGAGTTTCAAGATAACATTGTGAA